ATACATACATACACACACACACACACACACACACACACATATATTTCATCAAGCATGAATTAGATAATAGATATAAGTATAAGCATGATTATGAATACATGAAATAAATACGAATACAAGGGAATATTAGGACAGGGATGGTAGGCTCGCTGGTGTGCTTATGCACGCCCCTTAAAGACCTCTTAGGAATGGAGTGAGGTCAACAGTAGACAATCTAAGGTTAAAGGTTTCTTCCTGTCAATGCCACTTCCCTTCCAATTCTTCAAAGTTTTTTATTCGGCAGGTAGTCCTCGCTCAATGACCGCTTTGATTAGCGACCACTCAAGGTTCCAACAACACTCCAAAATCTTATGGCCCAGATTCAAAGTTCTGACACTGCCCCCTCATGGTCATTTATGGCCATTTGTGGCATTCTGTGGTCATAGGACCTTGATTTACGACTTGTTTTGCTAGGAACTAGCAAAACTACTTCCAGTTTCTAGCAAAAGTTACTCATTACAAACAATGGCTTTGCTTAACAACTGCCATGTTCACTTAATGACTGCCCCATTCATTGAATGACTGTTGCAGAATAGGTCATAAAATCAGGTTGGTTGCGTAATTGAAAACATCAGTATCAGCACTAGCAATCTCTGTCACCTACAACAATAAAGGAACTGACCTCAACTGGGAATTGACAATTATGGTAATTGGCAGTAAAAAACAAGTAAGCTGGCCAGACTGACTGTTTTTGGGGGGGTAGGTTTGCTGATAAGCAATGAACAAGATGCAATTTGGGGGTGTTTGAGCAAGATTCCCCCCGCCCCCCTTGGTGGCATTGCAACTCAGGTAAATAAAGGAGGGCTTTCTACAATGTCATTTGAGCTACAAGCAATTCTTACTTCCTGATATTAATTCCGAAATAACATATAAAATTACCAGGTTCTGTACGGTGGCGTACAAAAGACTAATTAAAAGCAAATGAACTTGTTTGAGCGGAAAATGGCTCTGTCTCAGCATTACCCATTGGTAATTTTTTTTTATTATGCCAGCTGTTGTATTGTACTTTCCTCAGGTTTGTTAGGGGCTCTATAATTCTAGAGTTTAGGTTAGTTTCATCTGATAAGAACGATGCTTTTAAGCGTTTTTTAAGTGCATCATTCCTCATTATTTATTACTGAATTTTCTGGATATTCAAAAACTATTTTCTTCTGGATAGATTAACACTTAAAATTAAAGAGAAGGAAGAAACAGAATATTTTTTAACATGGGATGCGTTTTATCAACGGCTAACTAACAGAAACACAAGTTAGAATTTTAAAAGCTTAAGAGAATGATTAATTATATAAGGAAGGTATATTGAAATGGATAAGCAAATATTATTATGTGATTATTAATGTTATGAATATTGTCACTATTATGATTATTTCTCAAAATTAATTGTACTCAGACAACACACTGTTCATGTGGACACTGGTTTTTTTAATGTTTACTAAAAATGTATAAATAAAATATCTCTATATTTATCTATCTATCTACCTATGTACCTACCTACCTACCTACCTACCTACCTACCTATTTATCTATCATCTATCTATCTATCATCTATCTATCTATCTATCTATCTATCTATCTATCTATCTATCTATCTATCTATCTATCTATCTATCTATC